CTAGACATACTTTTGATACATTTATCTGTGTTCTGCTTTGTATGTATTTTATTTTATTTCTTTCATATTTTTTATTTCATCCATGTTTTCATTAGACTAATTTTGCCAATAAATAGTTTGAAAATATATTTTTTGCGGGTTTAACTTTTTAATATTAATTTACAATATGGTCACCCAATACTTAACAATAGCCTTTATGTTGTCATAAAGTTCAGTAAACAGATGATATAAAGCCGCTGCACACAGTTTCTGGGATCAGCTGACCTGCATCCAGAACGTGATTTGCATAACTGTGGGTCGAACAGCAGGGCAGTCCCGAAAATAAACAGTAAATAAATGGAGAAGCCAAACAACACAGTTAAACTGTTTTTGAAGTGAACACAGCAGGATAAACTTAAAGTATATGGACTTTGATGCGATGAGCCGGACATTGAGAGCAACAGACAATTTTATGTCACGGGGGGAGTGCCGAGCTCGCTCGAGGCCCCAGTGACGCTTGCCTGCCTGCCTGCCTGCCTGCCTTCTGTAACATTGGAAAAAAGAGTGCACAAGACACTTAATTTGGCTTAAAATACTGACATTCTGACAAATAAGTAACTGTTTGTAACCTTACCTCAGCTTAGAAGGCAGAGGGTGTCAGTCTTTTCCACTCAGATTCAGCTATCGGAGCATGAAGCTAATGTTTACTCACAATGCTAATGCTACCCCTGCTCTCTGGCGCTCAGGAGGTAGAGGAGCCAAATGGCTGGCTCACTGCTGCCAACTAGTGGTCAGAGGCTGAACTACAACATAAAAATGAACGGCTGGCAAAAAAGTTGACATTTTAAACCTTAATTAAAAATCAATACAGGGTTTTAGAATATTGATACAGTATCGGGAAATGAAATATCGCGATATTTCAGTGTATCGATATTTTCTTACACCCCTAGTGTGAACGTGTAATCAAACTCTGATGCGGTCCCAAAAAATGAGGTCTAGTCTGCCTGAAAACCAAGCAAACAGGCAGTGTTGTGCATGTTGCTCAGGTGGGGACTCTCAGGGATAGGGTTAAAAAACACTCACTCTGGACACTGAACACTCAGTAATCATCTGTTGGCAGCTCACGCCAAATCTGGACCACAGGGATGTGGCATGGTGGGGAGGTGACACTATCGAGGGTGAACAGATCCAGATCAACACATATTAAGACATGTTATACAGTGCAGAACACTGTGAGGCAGGCACAGTGTAAAATTTTCATGACGTCTGACTGATTAAAACAATTCTTCATCACTCACGCATTATATTCTTCCAAATTCTAGAGCAGCCAAACCATTACAACTACTGGGGCTGTCTTGCCCTTCATCCAGGACTTTACACCTCAAGGACCAGGAAACTGTCAGAAAATACCATATCACTTTTCACTCCCTGAGCACGCTTTACTTTCCTCCAATCTGTCTGGAGATACAGAAGACTGCAGACCAGAACTAACCACTGCAAGAACAGGCACATGGACTCATCAATGCACACTGCTTGTTTATTGTGCGATATAAATATCTGTGTGTGTGTGTGGGTGTGTGTGTGTGTGTGTGTGTGTGTGTGTGTGTAGATGGACTGAGCAGAGATGATGGCAGCAAACAGACTGAGTTTTAAAAACATTACGGCCCTGGCCCCGATGGTCCGGGTGGGGACTCTGCCCATGAGGCTTCTGGCTCTTGACTATGGAGCTGATGTGGTTTATTGTGAGGTGAGGACTGCTGCTGTGGACAGATCATTATACTGAGAGGTTTTAACTAGATTGAATTATTGTCTTTTTTCTGTTTTTCTCATTGTCAGGAGCTGATTGATATCAAAATGGCCCAGTGTCAGAGAGTGGAGAACGGTAAGTAGGAATTATTTTACTCCAAGCAGCTGAAGGTACAACCCTTGTCAAATGTTTTTTTTTTTTTCAGCTGTTACCATATACATAAAATTGCCCCCATTTTTATATGAAAAAAATAAATAAATATGCTTAAATATTTAATTTCACATTGAAACTCTCAGACTTGAGAGCAGATTTGAACCAGTGTTTTAAAAAAACTAATTAAATTTGTATACATGGGTGGGGCTGCAGATTTTACAGTATTGATGGTGTGTAGACATCGATCACACAGAGGGAACACTGTCAGATATTTTTACGAGCCTGGCGTATACTGAGCATCTGACATTTTTCTTTTCTCCTAACAGAAGCATCAAACCAATTACCAGTTACCTCTCCCCACATTAAAACCAAACCAAATCCTCTTATCTGTAGTTTGAAAACGACCCAAATGAATGAGTAATTAATGATGATTATGCCTTTATTGTCATTGTACGGAGCACAATGAAATTACATTTAAAAACACCTACTCAAGAAAACACACATGACAAAAACATGGGGGAACAGGTGATCAGGTCATGTGGCAACCAGCAGGGGTCGCGCTACCTTTAAAAAAATTGAACATTGTCCAGCGAGGAAACACAAAAAGCGAGGCTGCCATGCGGGTGCTGCTGTGCCGAAAGACATGCTGCTAGAGGCGCCCCACCTCACAGAGTCCGGCCTCGCTACCTGGCTGGGGCCCGGGACCTTGACAGTCCCCTCGGCGCACATCGCTTTTGACTCAGTCACTCGCCAACATTTTCCTCACGAAGCTGGAACCACGACTCCGGGACTGAACCTCGCAGCAGGAACCTCATTCAAATCCCCCTGGTTTCACCGCAGGACCCCACCAGCTCTCCACCGCTACAGATGCTTCTTCTGAACGCGAGATCCATCTCCAACAAGGCTCTTYTGCTGAACGACCTGTTCCACTCTAAAAATCTGGATTTTATGTTTCTGGTCGAAACCTGGCAGAAGAAGGATGAACACTTCCACCTGAATGAACTGCGCCCAAGAACCACTGATCCGACCAGCAGCAGCCATTCCACTGGGACAGCTTTGTTCTCCTCGTTCCAATCTCAGTGTGGAAAAAATGGTGTCAATTGCGTTCAGAGACCAGTTTACCAAATTCATAATTCTTTTTGTTTCAGATGATAGGTAGAAGAAATGCTTGAAAAAGCTGTGAAGCAGGAAAGGAGGGGCAGGTTCAGGAGAGAGCAAAAAAGCATCCAACTCCTCTGAACCAAGCGAAGAAAAAGAAAAAATTAAGCTGCCCTATGTGAAAAGATGAGCAGTTCTAAAACAAAGATTGTGTCTATTTTTTATCACCTATTCATGGTCTTCAGATGACCTCTGCTGGTGAAAATTTGTAACTTGTTTTTAGTCTGAAGCACAAAAATCTTTATGATATTTAATAGTGTGTGTCTGTGTGTGTGTGTGTGTGTTTGTGACAGAGGTGTTGGAGACAATAGACTTTGTAGCTCCAGATGATCGCGTGATTTTCAGAACCTGTGAGAAGGAGAAGGGCAGAGTGGTCTTCCAGATGGTGAGACCACCTGGAACCAGTTCATTTTGTCCAACGCTGGGTAGACTCAAAACACTGACTCGTCCTTTCGTGTCTTTATGTTTCAGGGAACTGCTGACCCTAACAGAGCGCTGATGGTGGCCCGTCTTGTGTGAGTTTAACAAACTTCCTTTAAGAAGTCCAGCCAACCATCATGACTGTTGGGCTCTTTGATTTATTAAATGTCCACTTTTAGAGGAGAATAGACACTTTATTGTCCCCACACATGACATTCTCATAAACAACCATCATCTCCTTACAAACCCATTAAGACAAGAAGTAAAGATAAAAGGTGTTTTCATGAGGAAACTTGTAGACACTCAAACATCAACTACTTCCTCCTAGAACTCAGTTTCAGTTCATGTTACCAGTATTTCACAGAGGTCATTCATGTTGAATTAGTCCAGAAAATCTGCACATCTGAGTATCCTACGCAGTTGACGATATCCCAGAATTTATTGCGACGTCAGCAAACTAAACAAAAACAAAGACGTTGTAGTTAAAACAGTTCTACATTCCTGAAATGTAAAACGTGTTTACACAGCTGGAGCGAGGCACGTGTTTAATAGAGACTTGTTGATTCTTTCTTTTTTTAAAGTAAATGACTGCTATCAATCACATAGTAGAGAATATAAGACCATTTCTAAACTTAAATTAAACACAAAATATCCAACAATTTGTTTTAAGGTTTTCAGCTCTGAATTAAATCAAAGAGGATACTTCTTCTGACTGATTATCTTCTTTTTCTGAGGGTTAACTTTGTCAAGTACAGTGGGGAGAACAAGTATTTGATACACTGTTGATTTTTCAGGTTTTCCCACTTGCAAAGCATGTAGAAGACTGTAATTTTTATCATAGGTACTCTTCAACTGTGAGTAATGGAATCTAAAACAAAAATCCAGAAAAATACAATGTATGATTTTTAAATAATTAATTTCCATTTTATTGTGTGAAATAAGTATTTGATCATCTATCAACCAGTAAGAATTTTGGCTCTCACAGACATGTTAGTTCTTCTTTAAGAAGCCCTCCTGTTCTCCACTCATTACCTGTATTAACTGCACCTGTTTGAACTGGTTACATGTATAAAAGACACCTGTCCACACACTCAGTCAATCAGACTCCAGCATCAATGCCCAAGACCAGAGAGCTGTGTGAGGACATCAGGGATAAAATTGTAGACCTGCACAAGGCTGGGATGGGCTACAGGACAATAGGCAAGCAGCTTGGTGAGAAGGCAACA